TATCTTGCACTTATCCACATTAAATGTCTGTTGCCACAACTCTGACCATTTATCTAGTTTACCTAAATCATTTGCCATTTGGCTTAAGGAACACTATAGTCACCTAAATTACTTAAGCTAAATAAAGCAGTTTTAGTGTATAGATCATTCCCCTGCAATTTCACTGCTCAATTCACTGTCATTTAGGAGTTAAACCACTTTGTTTCTGTTTATGCAGCCCTAGTCACACATCCCCTGGCTATGATTGACAGAGCCTGCATGAAAAAAAAAAACTGGTTTCACTTTCAAACAGATGTAATTTACCTTAAATAATTTTATCTCAATCTCTGAATTGAACTTTAATCACACGCAGGAGGCTCTTGCAGGGTCTAGCAAGCTATTAACATAGCAGGGGAAAAGAAAATCTTACTTAAACAGAACTTGCAATAAAGAAAGCCTAAATATGGCTCTCTTTACAGGAAGTGTTTATGGAAGGCTGTGCAAGTCACACGCAGGGAGGTGTGACTAGTGTTCATAAACAAAGGGATTTAACTCCTAAACGGCAGAGGATTGAGCAGTGAGGCTGCAGGGGCATGTTCTATACACAAAAACTGCTTCATTAAGCTAAAGTTGTTCAGGTGACTATAGTGTCCCTTTATCCCTCGTGGAACAGCCACCCTGTTACATATCTTAGTATCAACAAAAATACATACCTTACCATCAAGATCTTCTGCAATATCACTAATAAAAATATTAAAGAAAATGGGTCCAAGTACATATCCCTGAGGTACCCCACTGGTGACAAGCCCATGCTTCGAATATACTCCATTGTATACAACCCTCTGTTGCCTGTCACTCAGCAACTGCCTTACCCATTCAACAATATTGGAATCCAAAGTTAAATATTGCAATTTATTGATATGCCTTCTATGTGCAACAATGTCAAAAGCCTTACTGAAATCTAGGTAAGCAATGTCTACTGCACCACCCTGATCTATTATTTTAGTTACCTAATCAAAAAAAATCAATAAGATTAGTTTGGCATGATCTCCCTGAAGTAAACCCATGTTGTCTCTGATCTTGAAATCCATGTGATTTTAAATGTTCAACAATCCTATCCTTTAACATGGTTTCCATTACTTTCCCCACTACGGAAGTAAGAATTACTGGCCTATAGTTGCCTGACTCCTCCCTACTACCTTTCTTGTGAATGGGCACAACATTCGCTAACTTCCAATCTTCTGGGACTACTCCTGTTAATGATTGGTTAAATAAATCTGTGAATGGTTTTGCTAGTACACCACTAAGCTCTTTTTTTTATGTTTATATATTTTTATTTCCAAAATATGTTGTACAAGGCTTAAAACATAAACCAAGTATACAAAGTAAATGGGTTACAAGTTGGTACAGTGAGGTAAGGTTACAGCGTTATGTGTCTGACACTTTCACGTATTGACGAGTAACACAACTTAACATGGTTTGCTATTCCACAAATTAGTCCCGCCATTCCCCTTTTCCCCCCTCCCCCCTCCGCCCCATGCATAGTATCAAACTACAGGATTTTAGCATGTATACCAACGCTGAGGTAGTGTAGAGAGACCTTCGCCATCATAATTGTGTTTGCTTCTCGTTGACTGATTCTACGTAGCTACGTTCCTATGAACCTTTTATGTACCTCAACTCTGGTTGCCTATCCATTGATACCCACTATATAGGTTCCATAATTAGAGTTTTACGTGGTTGCAGTTAGAAGAGGCTTAGCTTTCGGCCTGTTGGGGGCGACTATACGACTGCGTGGTTAACCACCTGTCCCATTGGACCCATCCGTCCAGTTTTTTGTGGGGTTTAAGTTTGAGTGTGCCATTTTTTCATATTGCCCATTGGTTGTGACTTGTGTGGTGATTTCCAACCTGCTGGGTATTGTGGGCGATTTCCATTTCCTAGCAATGAGCAAGTTTGCCGTGATATGATATGAAAAACTAAGGTTTTTTGAGAGGGTGATACATTTTGGGCAGCATAAGCAGTATATAGGTCTCGATAGTTCGAGGTAATGTTTTTTTCACCACATCCGCTAGCACAGTAGCCACCATGTCAACCAGTAGGGTTGTAAGGCAGGGCACTTCCACCAGATGTGTGTCATATTGCCTCCTCCCTCTCCACATCTCCAACATGTGTCCTTTATGTTTTGGTATATTTTGGCTAACTTCGAAGGTACCAGGTACCACCGTGTTAGGATCTTTCTAAGAAGTTCGATATGTGACACAGAGTGGGTGAGGGATTTATGAACGCTAAAGGCCGTAAGCCACTTATCCCTTGGAATAGTGTATCCTTGCTCCCTCTCCCAAACGGATGTGTAAGTCGGTAAGGGTGTCGTATTGGATTTCAGCAGGGAGTCATAACATAGCGATATCACTCTCCACTTGGGTATTTGACCTGTGCACAATTTTTCAATAGGTGACATGTGGTGATGTTGATTTTCTGCACCACTAAGCTCTTTTAATAACTTTGATCAGGTCCCATTGACTTATTTGTCTTTACTTTTGACAGTTGAAATAGAACCTCTTCCTCTGTAAACTCACATGTAACAAATTACGCATTTGTCCTTTTTTCTAACTGAGGCCTCTTTCCTTCATTTTCATCTGTAGATACTGAACAAAAATATTATTTGAGGCAGTCAGCTAGACCTTTATCCTCTTCTACATACCTTCCTTCTTTTGTTTTTAATCTAACTAATCCTTATTTTACTTTCCTTTTCTCATTTATGTAACAAAAAATATTTTGTCCCCTTTTTTTACCACATCTGCGGAGTATCACAATGGTTTCTTGAATTTTTTGCTTTTACTGACAAGCTTATACAATTTTCTGTTGCCTTCAGCAGTGCAACTTTTAATCCCATTTCTCTTGGACTCCATTCAAATTGCTCCAGTCTGATAATGACTCCTTTACACATATTCTAATTTTAGAAAAGTCTGTTTTTTTAATGTCTAAAACTTTTGTTTTTGCATGGTGTGACTCAGTCACTGTTCTTATATTAAACCACACTGACTGATGATCACTGGATCCTAAACTTTCACCTACAGTAATATCTGATACCAAATCTCTATTTGTTAACACTAAATCTAGTACGGCCTCTTTACGCGTTGGCTCCTCAACGACTTGTTTTAGAGACAATCCCAGTAGGGAGTTTCACATTATGATTTTATTGTTTTATTATTTTAAGACATCATGCCATGATATTTGAAATGTTACATATTGTCTCAGTCTGCTTGAAATCATTGGTAGTTACACTCCCAACAGCAGCTCCAAATTTAATTCAGCCCATCTTATAGAATTGATATGTCTGAAAAGGGACTGAGGAGGCATTATGCCTCTGTTTTCTCCGGCTGCTCTTCCTTCATATCACTAGGGGAAGAATTGATTAATTAAGGAGAGCAGTCACATATAGAAGCTGCTACCTAGGAATGTAACACCTACTATTTTTGATGTTATGTTACCTGCCAGCATTTGTTTAATTCAGACAATACTTTTGTGCACCAATCTTCAATGCACACAGATATTCTGGAGATGCAGGTATGAAACAATAGTCTCCCTATTCAAACTCCCTTTTAGTTTGGTACTACTCCATTTCATAGTTCAATTTTGGCCCACTACATCTGCTTTTTGTTTTTGACCTTTGATCATTTGGATTTTTACCTTTATTCCCAATTTTGGACATTTGGATTTTACCTTTATTTCCCAATTTTGGAATCCTAGACACTTTAACTATATGGACACATAACCATTTGGGACCATCCACAAACCAACTCTAAGAAGAGGAATCAGGATCTCTCATAATCATCCTACTGTGCTATACACTTGAGCCAAGTGGTCTTACTGGCTTTAAGTTTGTGAGTGTGATCAATACGTTTGCATATAGTTTACACATAGGCATCTCTGTACTATTGTGTTTTTTACTGTTTCCCTTTTAGACAGCTATGATACCCAGAAATTGAGAAGTATTATTTAAATTGCTCCACCTATCATGTACATTTTCTCTGAACATCTAGGTGTGGGTTAAGGGGATTTGACACAGGTGTTTAGAGCATTTGGATATATATATATACATCTTTGAACTGTGCAATACAAATTTGTTGATATACACGATATACATAGGAATCCCTTTTACATCACTTTATAATAGCTGGTTTTATTATTGCACAGATTAGGCAAGATCAGAGGTTTGACACATATATAGAGTAATCCGCAAAGACAGATGATATAGATTACCCAGAGATCAGGCAATGGACTGGAGTTTGGATACTATTAATTCAGGTGTCCCTCCTATCTTTATTTGTATGAGATTTGTGAAACTAGGAAAGCAAACTGCATACTTAATCTTTGTAGACCATCTGTTTGTTCCAGACATGTTTTTGTTGATACGTCTCTGGTCAGGAATTATCCCTTAATCAGTAGCATACACACAATCCATGGGGCCATGGTGCAAAACTGATCCATGAGCCCCCCACCTTCCCAATTAGTGCCCCTCTCAGACACACACACACACACATATAGACACACACACATAGAGACACACACAAATACATACAGACACACACATACATCCCCCGACAGACACACAGACACACACAGACACACATAGACAGACTAACACCCCCCGACATACATATACACAGAAAACCACATAGACACACACACCCCTGACAGACATACACACAGAAACACAATTGCATACAGACACATACATACAGAGACACACACACACACACACACACACACACAGTCTGTGTGTATGTGTGCGTCTCTGTGAGTGTATGTGTGCATCTGTGTGTATGTGTGCGTCTCTGTATGTATGTGTCTGTATGTGTGTGTGGGTGTCTGTATGTGTGTGTGTGTGTCTCTGTATGTATGTGTCTGTAGGCACACACATACAGACACATACAGAGACACACATACATGACATGCACACATACATACAGCCTGTATGTATGTGTGTGTGTATGTGTGCGTCTCTGTATGTGTATGTGTGTCTCTGTATGTGTGTGTGTGTCTGTATGTGTGTGTCTCTGTATGATACAGACACATACATACAGAGACACACACACATACAGACACACACATACAGACAGACACACACATACACAAAATGTTTAAGTCACCCTCCTGTTTCCTACTTTTTTCAGGAGGGTGACTTTCCCTGGGGTCCAGTGGGGGCTCAGCCTGATGGGAGTCAGAGTTCCCTCCTCCTTCCTTCTGCGCGGCTCTTTGATAGCTGGGAGGAGTGACTAGGGCAGTCACTTCCTCCCAGCTCTGTCTGATGTCATCACAGGGGGCCTGGTCGCACTGTTAAAGCGCCGCAGCGCTGACCGGACCCCCTGAAAATCCATATCCATCGGGTGGCCCTAACAGCATGGGCCACCCAATGGACCCCTTCAAGGGGGACCCCGGCGGTTTGCTGCGCGGGCCAGGGCCGCAAAACATGGCAGTAGTTACCTGGTCGCAGGGGTCCTCAGGTCGGCTGGACTCCCAGGACTGACAGGCCCAGTCACAGCTGCGACCCATGCGACCGTGGGAAGTACGCCAGTGCCCTTAATATAGAAACATTTGTGAAGTATATAATTTTATAGACTTTCCCTCTGGGAACTCTGGTACACTAAGTGATCCAACATTTGGCCTCATGGGTTATATAATGACTTTTTCTTTTGTTTTTAGTAGGAAAAAAAAAGTGATACATATCATCATCATCATCATAAATACACAAGTTGGCTTTACAATGACAATGTCATATTCACTCCTTTTCCTTACAGATCTAGCAGGAAAATAGTTGTAATAATTGCATACATTTTATTGACAATAATGGGATAAAATAAACATGAAAGTCTTTTTAAATCAGACACTGAATCAGAAACTCATTTTGAACAATATAAAGCAAAAAAGAAAACAGTCCTTGCTAAATAAAATAGGCTGCTTCACAAATTAGTAGTAGGAAAAAAAAAAACAAAGTTCGTGGCAAATTGTTCAAATGCAAGAAAGTAACAGAAAATAAGGGTTTACCCAATCTTGAGGCAAGTCCGTGAATCCTGAAGAAGGCAATTCCCATATGGAAAAAAACCAAAATATATAGGCTGGTGAAATGTCTGGTTGTAAAAAAAGAGAGTTTATTTAGCTTTCAGCAGCTGAGTTGGAAACATCTGAAGTCCAATGAAGAAATTGAAAAAAGGAGGTGAGTATAAGGATCCAATTTGTAGATTCTGAAGCTGAAATATTAGTTAGTAGAAACATGCAAGGCACAAAGGCATAAAAATGCAAGGCATAACATTTCCTTAGACCTACTGCAAAATCCGAAGGAGGATGACAGTACCAAAGATTCCTGGTCATTAACCAACACATTCAAGCCCTAACATTTGGATGTGTTTAGTTTATATCTTAGACATTTGGAAAATAAATCTATTTCATAAGCAGGTAAAGGAAATTCTTGGATTTGAAAGTGATACACAAATATTATCTGCAAACGAACTAGCCTTATAAACCTTTTCTCTGCATTATATACGAGAGACATCTGCATTTTCGTGAATTGGTTGGGCTGGGGGTTCTATATGAAGAGCAAATAGAACATGGGATTTGAGGCATCGCTTTCTGGTACCATTAAAGATGTTTATATGAACTTGTATTTAGACTGTCTTTACTCCTGTATCATGATCATATTTACATACTTGTTTGAAGGCAGGAGTTCTAGGATGAAAGATCCTAGTGCGGGAAGGATTCCTTAAGGACTGCTAGTTTATTTTTCTGCACACTATGTTGCTTGCCTGAACTAGATGTCATCGGCAGCATCTTATTGTACAATGGCTTTGCCTGACAGCTGGAGTGTGCGGTGAGTGGTATGTCCTGTCCTTCTTGCATGACTTATGCCCTTGTCCCAATATAGCCTCTTACACAAACAATATTGATGGTTAGGATTTCAGCTTTAACGCTACACTTATGAAGCCTAATCTGGGAACCTGCATCAATTGAACTTTCTCTTACACCATCTAGAGGCTTGACTGCATCACCTATCTTAACAAGCCAATGCCCCATATTTTGCAGAAAACTATTATATATATATCAGAAGATCTTCTTAAATTGGAAGTTAAATCACATTCTGGGCCTGACTGACTTCCAGATGTATTACAGATTAAGATCAATGATTAAGATCAATGACCAATGAACCAAAATATTCCCATCTCATTTTGTAATTCCCAAATACCTTTCATGTAGCTATTGCAAGAGTTGCTCCTATTCATAAATGTGGTGATTCTAATATGGTGTCCAACTACAGATCAATATATTGACTCCAATTACTGTGAAAAGTCCTATAACAATGTGTCTATACGTATATTTTCAGCTATTATCCACAGTTAAACTTTCTGACTCCTTTTCGATTTGACATCTTTCTAATCACTTACCAGTCAATGCCCTTGCAAAAGTGTGCACTGACATTCAGTCTGGCAAAGAGCAAAGCAGACTCATTTTCAAGGATTTAGGAATAGATGAACTGCTAAAATCATTGTAATCATACATTTCTGACATGGTCTCTTATTAATTATATGTTGGGAATCTTCCTGACAACCCAGGCAGTCCCCCTGCAGGCAATCTTGCAATCAGGATGATCAGAATCATGTGATGGTGATGTTCTCATGATCAATCACATGACTCATACTGGCAAGATTGGCTGCAGCGGGACTGCAGGCAGCACCCCTGCTCAGATCTGCTATGGAGGGCAAGGAGGGAAAGTATAGAGGCTTCCCCATCATTAGGGTGTGCTATAGAAAATATGGTAAGGTGAACAGCGCTAATGACAAAAAGATTACATATGTAATTGGAACGATTTCCAGAAGTATAGATCTTTTAAAAAGATTAAAGTACACAATAATAGCGCAATAGTGCAATACCATATTTTCTATCTCGATTTATTTTGCACAAGGTTTGGGGAACATCTTGTTGGTGAATTGCAGCTCGTGTCTGAGAGTGAGCGCTTATTTCTGTTTTGTTATACCATTAGGGTGTGCTATGCCACTCTAACGGTGTTAAAGTCCTCCTTTTGTAGGATGGCATAGCACACCCTAGTGATTAAACTTTTTGTTTGGCTTAAACTTTTATATTTACTTTGATTCCCACTTTAGCAAATTGCTTTACTAGCTATTTTATATACATGTATATTTTTCATATACAGTATATTCATTTACTTTGACGCTTTCTCTTTTATTATATTTTGTGCATTACATTTGTCATTTTCAGGTTTTCACTTGCCACCTGTCAAATAAAGAGATAAAATACTATTCTGTAAGTCAATGATTTGCCTATTCAACACAACAGAATGTTAGGAAATATCACAGAACTAAAGAAATTTATACATTTCCAAAAATAACCATGGTTACAAAACTGACTAACACATGAAAGTATTACATTCAAGACACAATATAATTAGAGTATTGTTCATTTAGAACCTACCAATTTTTATTATTCAATAAAAGCTTGGTGGGGAATCAGCATCCTACTGCTCTATAAAAAAAGTATTTTTGTTTTACTGACAAATAGCATGCTTTATGTCTGAATATATTATAGCATTTACTTTCTTTTATGTTAGTATGGTTCATTGTTTAAGTTACAATGTATTCTGAGTAGTCTGTGTTACATCTTACAAAATGACATATTTATATTTAAAAAGACATTCCAGGCATCAAGACAACTTTTACTCATTTAATAGGTTTTATGATTATAATCTTGCTATTTCTTGTTTTCTGCTCAAAGTTGTGTTTTTTTTTTTTTTAAAGAAGAAAAAAGTTTTCTAGTTTTGTGCTTCATAATCCAGCACTTTACCCATACCACCCAATCTCAAGTAATCCTGATTGTCATACCCAGAAGTGAACACAGAGCTCAGCCATCAATAATAGTGATCAATAACTGAGCTAAACTGCTGGGAAAGCCTGCAGACAGTAGAAGAGGACAACTGTCTGTATGTTTGTCTGTCGGTGTCTGTCAGCTTGTTTGTATAATTTGTTTAAAAAAAATTATTTTATTTTTCCTCCCATTTGTGCTCACAGTATGTGATTTCTGCAGATCATGCTGTACTCATTACTCATATTTAATAACGTAAATTCAAGGTTATCAGATCCTATGCAGGATCTGTTTAGTGTCCTTAACCCCTGAAGAGCCGAGGCCTATGCTGTAACTTTAAGTTCTTACTCTCGTAAATGTACACATTGCTCTGCATGCAGCTGGGGAGGAGTGGTAACTGTGTAGGGAAGCATATGGACCATCCATACATCCACTCCTATGTAAAATGGTTGAGATTAAAAACAGAAAAGACCAACTAGCAGTCTATGAGGAAAAAAAGGTACTTATAGTTTTATATATATATATATATATATATATTCAAAAATGTCAGCTGCTGCCAAGGAGTGTAATTCCTATATCAGACAGTTATAAGAAGTGTATGACACATGATGTATGTGCTCATTTGCATATCTAGCAGGGTAATCTGGGAGAGTAATAAAAATATTATTTGATGGAAATGCTGTGCCCAAGATAGACTTTTCCCAAGATCTGATTTATGATATGCAGTAGATGTACAACAGTAAATTAGGAGTTTGTGTCATTTAGTGGAGAGTTTCAGAATAGTTTACTTTCACCACAACTTTAATAGTTAGCTATATGCTGCCAGAAAGACTTCAATTCTGGGACCGGAACCAACAATGTACTGATGAGAAACAAAAGCTCAAATTTGTACAATCCATGGTTAGCTTTTGGATCACAACCAATGCTTAGTTTTAAAAAGTTGCATTTAAGGGTGCAATTGAATTTCCTGGGATTGCTGTGACCAAGACAAATGTTTCCTATGGTCTAACTTGACATATATATAGAATATAGAATGCACACTATAACAATCTCAAAAAACTTAGCTTTATTATGTACAAAAAAGTACCAGAGTGAAAACATATAAGAAAAAATAAACAAAGTGACAGAAGCAAGGGCAAATACAATAAAATAATAATAAATTACCACACAAATTCTTACAAGCCTCAAGACAGAAACACGAGTCACCAAACCACCCAACATTTCGGCACCAACTGGCTGCCTTTATCAAGGGT